AAAGGAATTTTCCACTATTTTTTCTTAATTTTTTGCTCTGGTTTACAATCAATACAACAAGTCTTTTAAGGCTATTCGCTGTGACAACGCCCCTAAATTCTGCCTGGCTGATTTTTTTAATTCCAAAGGCATCCAACTTTTTCATTCTTGTGTCGAAAGACCACAACAAAGTTCTGTGTGGGAAAGGAAACACCAGCACATTTTAAACGTCGCCAGAGCACTCCATTTCCAGTCTCAGGTTCCTTTAAATTACTGGCATGATTGTGTTCACACAGCCGTTTGCATTATAAACTGTACCCCATCTCCACTCCTATCACCTTTTGAACTTTTGTCTCACAAGGTTCCCTCCTACTCGCATCTCAGAATTTTTGGTTGTCTATGCTATCCGTCCACTCTTCATCGTGGTCGTCATAAGTTTTCTCCACGAGCCTTTCCAGCCGTGTTTCTAGGATACCCCCTAGATACAAAGGCTACAAATTACTTGACCTCTCTACTAATCGAGTCTTTGTGTCCAGAGACGTTTTTTTTCACGAATCTGTTTTTCTTTTTGCTTCTTGCTCTTCATTTCACACTCCTATACCCCCTACTCCCTCACCACATACCATTGAAGCTTTACAACCTCCTTCTTCACATCCATCTCGCATTAGAAAACCACCACCCCATCTACTTGATTATGTATGTTCTTCCACTGCTCATCCAATCTCTAATTTCTTATCCTATAACAATTTATCCCCATCTCATAATGCTTTTATTAATGCCCTCTCTTCCCATTTTGAACCATCAACTTTCTCTGAAGCATCCCAACTAGGGGTGTTCATCAACCGATCCAAACCGATTCAAACCGCAATAACCGAAAACCGAAAAATCAAAAACCGAAAAAAAACCGCAAATTTTAATTGGATTGGATCGGTTTTCGGATGGGTTATTAAAAACCGATCCAATCCAAACCGATCCAATATATTAATTTCTCTCTACCTATTTGGGTTTTTTTTTCAATCATAGCCCAAAAATTTCTAAACCAAAGATCCATTAACCATCAACTAAACCCAAGAAAAAGCCTAGTCACATCTCATTAACAAAATTTAATTTGTGTAGAGCTTCATATCTCATTGCCCAAAAAAGAAAAAACTATATTATCGTTTAATGATGCTTTTGTATTTAAAAAAAATAAAATTACAAAGTCAATATATACAAAAGATGTTATTTGCACAATAATCATGAAACAAATTTTAGGATTTTAAAAAAACCGAAAACCGATCCAATCCAAACCGAAAAAAATTGGATTGGATTGGATCGGATTTGAAAAAAAATCCAAACCGAATGGATGATTACATGATCAAACCGAAGGGATTGGATCGGATGATTTTTGCTTTCAAAACCGATCCAATCCAGACCGCGAACACCCCTAATCCCAACTTCCCGAATGGTGTGCAGCCATGGATGCAGAATTTTCAGCTTTGGAGCATAACAACACTTGGAAAATTGTCTCTCTACCCCCTGGTAAATGACCCATTGGCTGTAAATGGGTCTATAAGGTAAAATATAACTCTGATGGCAGCCTTGAAAGATACAAAGCCCGTCTGGTTGCTAAGGGTTTTTCTCAACAGGAGGGTGTTGATTTTTTGGAGACTTTTTCCCCTGTTGCAAAAATTAAAACTGTTTGTGTTATGCTTTCTCTTGCTGCCATTAATAATTGGCATTTAATTCAACTTGACGTTAACAATGCTTTTTTGCATGGAGATCTTGTAGAAGAGGTATATATGTCTTTGCCTCCGGGTTATTTTGGAAAGGGGGAGTCCCTTCCTCAACATGCAGTATGTCGTCTTCAAAAATCTCTTTACGGGCTCAAGCAAGCTTCTCGCCAATGGTTTGAAAATTTTTCCAGCACCTTAATCTCTATTGGATTTACTAAGTCATCCTCTGATCATTCTTTGTTTACTCTTTTCACTGACACATATTTCATTGCTGTTCTGATTTCTGTGGATGATATAATACTTGCTTCTAATAACTCTGATGAGATGCATAACCTTGCTTCTTCTTTGAATAGCAAATTTAAATTGAAAAATCTTGGTGCTCTCAAGTACTTTTTGGGCCTAGAAGTTGCCAGATCACATCGTGGAATTTTTTTGACACAACGTCAGTATGCCTTGACCATCCTACAAGATTGTGGTTTCCTTGGTTGCAAGCCTCAGTCTACTCCAATGGAGGCTAATTTGCGACTGTCTGCTGACTCTGGGAATCTTCTCCCTGATCCTACTACTTTTAGACTTCTCATTGGCAAGCTCCTTTACTTAACAATTACTAGACCTGACCTTTCTTTTGCAATTAACAGACTCAGTCAGTTCATGTCTGCACCTTGGGTCCCCTACATGCAGCTGCCCATCGTGTTCTTGCATATCTCAAATGCATTGCTGGCCATGGTCTTTTTTTTCTGCGACTTCTACTATACAACTCAATGCTTTCTCTAATTCTGACCGGGTTGCATGCCCTGATGGTCGTCGATCTGTTACTGGCTATTGCATCTTCATTGGTGACTCACTCATCTCATGGAAGTCCAAGAAACAAGGTACAGTCTCCCGTTCGTCCGCTGAAGCTGAATACAGGTCTATGGATAATGTTACTTGTGAGATTCTTTGGCTGTCTTCTTTACTCAAAGACCTGCGTGTTGCTCATCCCTCACCTGCACACTTGTTTTGCGATAATCAAGCCGCTGTTCACATTGCGGGTAATCCAGTATTTCATGAACGTACCAAGCACATTGAGATTGATTGCCATATCGTCCGTGATCAAGTTACCAAAGGCACTTTTCAGACTTTTGCTGTTTCCTCTTCCCAACAACTTGCTGACATCCTCACCAAAGCCCTTCCTCCTGGTTCTCTTCTTCTCCATTCTTTCCAAGATAGGAGTTCTCAACATACACTCTCCATCTTGAGGGGGAGTTTTAGAATATACTTCATTCAGTTATTTTTATTCTTTTTATTATTTTGGACTTTTGCCACCTCATCAGTGGCTGTAACCGTTTTAGCATTTTTTACGGATCAAGTTGTATTCTATTTTTAGGTTGCTGATATATTCTCATAGTGTATGCATTGTACTCAGTGAATTCAGTTTTCTGAACAATGAAAGTTAGTTTTCCTTTCCAAATTTTTTGGGCTTTGATATCTAAAAATTGGATTAATTATTTAATTAAATCCAATGTTATATTTTTGGGCTGATAGCATTTGATTAGATTGAGTCTAATTGAATAACAGAGATTTCATTTTTACCTTCCTTTGTATGATGAGCAGATTCTATAAAGAATCAATTCAATCTAAAAGTTTTAGGTTGTTTAGTGAAGGCTCATCAACAATTTATATATTTCTTTAACACGCCCCTTTATATGAGAGTCTATTGGGCATGAAGGATGGATAATGCACAGACTCACCTACCTGTGTTAAGAAATTCTACAAGAGAAAATGGGGGGTGATGAGGATCGAACCCATGACATGGAGACTCTGATACTATGTAAAGAACCATTCAACTCAAAAATTTAATGTTTTGGGTGAGGTTATATTAATGATTTTTTATATATATCTAACGCTCCCCTTCACACGAGCTTGAAGGGTGGACAATTAACAAAATCACCTACCAGTACTAAGAAACTCCACAAGATTTAATTATTTATTAATTAAATGAGAGGCGGTGAGGATTGAACTTGTGACCTTGTGGTCACTGAAGCTCTGATATCATGTAAAGAACTATTTCATCCCAAAACCTTAAGGTGTTGGGTGATAGTCTTTTAAATGATTTTTCTAACACACCCAACGCAAGAGCCTTTTGAGCTTAAAGCGTGGATATTACACATGCTCATTTTTTTTTTACCTTGTACTTATTTAATTCCATTAGAAAGTGAGGGACAGTGAGAATCAAATTCGTAACCTTGTGATCAATGAAGCTCTGATACCATATAAAGAACAATTCAACCCAACAACTTAAACTATTATGTGAGAATATTTTTAATAATTTATATTATTCTTTTGACAGATTCAATAGACATAAAATAAATTCTTCTAGTTAGAAATTTATGACTAGTCCCCTCTTTAACTTATTCAACGTAGAATTTGACTCTATTATGCTTTCATCGTTACTAAGAATGATAGACGATAGAGAAATATCATAATATAAAGTTCAATTCCTTTTTTTCATTTCTAGGATGATCAAACATAACATACATATTATCATATTTAATCTTATTATTATTTTGAGATCTATTATGATTATGAGATAGCCTATGGTGGATGCCTGGATTATATTAAACGGTCAATCAGGTAGAAATTATCCTAGTGGGAGTTATCCCAAGTGGTCCAAAATACAGAGGAAATATTGTCCGTTTTATTTTGGCCATAGAAGTGAAAAAGTTTGCAATACATAAGAAAAAAAGAGAAAATTTATTCAGTTGGCTTCCGCATTAATTAAGTTGAACATGTTTCGCTTACTATCATATGTATGTTAATACACCAGGTGCATACGGGGTGTTATAAACGAATCTTTCACCGGTGTAAGAATTAGAAGTCTTACACTCAATCTTGATCATTGATCCACTTGTATCCAATGACTCACATTACTAAAAAATTTAAGCCCTTAGATATAAGTGCGATCAACGGACAAGATTGATAGTGTAACTTACACTGGTGTAAAATGATCCTGACCCTATATATATATATATATATATATTTATATATATATATTAGTCATGCGCACTGTCTTCGAACTTTCCTTGTGAAGGAGGTGATAAAAAGACAAAGAAGCCAACTAGGTTAGGCATAATTGGTTAAGGACTACGCTCATTCCCTACAAGGGTATTAGTTCAAATTCCGTTCACCGATTTGAGCATTTTGTTGATGAATGATCTGTAATTCATTTCAGAAATTCTCAAAAAATTTGGGATCTGCCCCTTAGGGAACCAATATTTTTCCCCACCTAAACTTTTAATTACCAAAAAGGAAAAGAGAGTGCTAACATTATTGTAGCATATATCGATGATGACCCAAATATTGGTTAAAAAAAGTACCTGAAGGAGGAGGATGAGAAGGAACCAGTGGCGGTGCTGCTGATGTTTCAGTTGTATAATAAAACTTGTACAGATCGTATCTAATATTACACCATGCTAGCAGAGCTCTCGCACCCTGTTTTCCCCCACAACACATAGTAAGAGTTCCGATTGCATTTTGCAAACACTCCTCACACTGATCATTCGTCACGCTGGGAGCGCACTGTGCCAGCCCATACACTCTGTTCTGCCTCGATGACCCCTTGAACTCTGTTTCTCCGGTGGCGAATTTCTTCGCAAGCTGGGAACTCGCAGCTTCTTCAGCCAAACTGTTCAACAAGCTGAACAACGTTTGGTTGAAGCTTTTCAAATCCGAGGTGGAGATGTTCTTGTCATCCCACAAGTTCACTCTTGGGACGATGCTGACAGGGTTGAAGTACCTGTTTGTGTAACCCAACGTGCACTCATCGTACCATATTATGGACTGTGTCTGGTTGTGGCAGCGGCGTTCTATCTCTGTGGCTGCAGCGGCGACACACTCCTGACAGATGGCAGAGGAGACGTCGCCGCGGCAGAGGAAGATGCCACTGGCGACGTTTATGGTCGCCAAGCCTATGTTTGTCAGGTAGTAGCCGTCGCGGCCTTGGGAGGCGTTGGAAGTGAGATCTGAGAGGAGAATCTTGAGATTGCTTTGGAATGTAATGCTGGATTGATAAGTTGCGGTGTTTGGGCAGTAATTATCGTTGTAAACGGGAACTGCCGAGGTAAATAATACAATTCCTAATAGAGAAAAGAGCAGAGAAGGGATAACATGATTGTTGAAAAGATGCATGTTTTATCAATATTTTGTTGCTCCACATTAGCTTGGATTTCGCAGCGTATAAAATGATCGAACTCTATGCATTCCTCAATCTCTATGAATGGAAACTTAGCGAGAACAACCGCCAAGGACTAGTCTCCTCAGTTTAGAAATGAAGTTTGAAACGACAACCAAGCACCTTTTGACCATACCTAAAATGATATAAAACTAAAGAAAATATCATTGTCTCCATTTTTAGTCTCTTTTTCCTACTCGTATCATTATCATTTTAATCAACTGAATAGAAATTTTAAGATCAAATCATAATATTAAAGACGTGTAACACAAAAGAAAAATATTGACACACATACTAAACATGGATATGTGTTGATTTTGAATTAGGATGGCTTTACCTACTCGTATAGTGTGTTTGGATTTGGATGACATAATGGTAAGAACAAAGAAGGAAAAAGAAATCAAGGAAATTTATTTACTCTTATTGTTTTTATTAAACTCATTTTTTATTTTTGAAATTAGGCTAAAACGGTGAACTTAAATGTATTAGAGTGCTATTCCACTTTTAATTAATATTCTAAATAAAGTAAATAGTAATTCTGTTATATGATTTTGTTGAACTTTTGTTCAATTTATTCCCTAAACTTTTCGGCTCATTTTCATAAAATATTGAGAATATAACTTATGTTAAGTGAAGGGCACCGATCGTCAAGTCCTGCCTAATGATATGCGCACTGCGCAGGTAACGTAGAAGCTATTACCTGTCTCTCTCTTTTTCACAATTATTTTAATGTCAAGCCAAATTACGCGACAAGAGACTGTAATCCGTAAAACAAATAAAAAAAATACATATATATTTTTAGGGAAAAATGTTTATCATTTTAAATGACACAACTTTGTGTCATTTTAATGAAACTACGTCGTTTTGGTGAGTTTTTACATATTTTTATTATTTATTATGAGTTTTAATATTTTTATATTTGCCACAAAATATTTATTTGGCACATTGAAACTAGGGGTGATAAACGAACCAGGGACCTTTGGCTCGGCTCGTTAAGGCCTAAGCTTGTATGCCTAAAATTGGTTGTTGGAACCAGGCTTGAACTTGTATAAAAGCTCGTTTAATAAAAAGGCCTCAGACTTCACTGCAAAAGCTTGGCCGTAGAGCCTCTCAAGCTGGCCTAGTATATTAATTTTTATTTTTATTTTATATTTTTATACTACTTGTAATAATCCTCTCTCTCTCTCTCCTCAATACATTTCATCCAATTTTATTGGTTAAACAGACTTTTTGAATGATTCTGTTCTATATTATGTTATTTTGATATATATTGAATTTATGAATATTTATGAAATTACTAGTGTTGTTGATTGTACATTTTGCTTGGATGAATTTTTGTTGTCTTATTTTTTTTAAACAGGCTAAATAAGTCTTCCATTTTTTGTAAATAAGTTAGGCCACATAGCGATAATTGTCTTCCATTTTTTGTAAATAAGTTAGGCCATATGCCGATAATCATATTCATAACAGATAACAGATTTGATCAGGCTGACACATTTAAACACAGACTTAACCTTTTAAGACCAAAGCTCGGCCTGACTCGACCCGTTAACATCACTAATTGAAACCCACTTATTTACAAGTGAGTGTGGCATATAGAAATATTTTTCCTATTTTTATTATTTTTGCAAAGGACCATTATCCCTTTGTTTTTTAATTAAAAAGAAAAAATACATTAAATTGGGATGTGATGGCTGATGCAAAGAAAAATACATTATTTTTATACTTAATTATTGCACAGAACCTCTCTCTGCCTCGTTTTTTCGATGTGATGGAGAGATCTAGAAGAATCGCCTGCTGGACTGTCGTCTGCTATGTGAAAATGGAAATTTGAATACGCTTCTGACATTTCCCGGTTTTCCTTCTCACATTAAACTTTTAACGTGGACTTTATACTAATTTTAACTGTTAGATCATAACAGACCTAACCTCGAAAATGACGTAAAAACATAAAATAAAAATAAAAATATTGAGTATTACATCACTGTCACTCAATTAATTAGAAATTTCAAGAACTAATCATATATATATATATATATATATATATATATATATATATATATAGAGTGTTTGGTAGAAGATTTTTTTTTAGATTTTCAAAAAAATTGATATTAAAAATTCTATTTACTCATATTTGGTATGAGGATTAAATTATTTTTTTTCCAAAAATCAGATTCTTGGAATTTATTTTTATGAAAAAAATACCAACTTAAAATATCGTGGTATTTTACAAATCTCATCCCATAAGAATAATTTGTAATTTTTTAGGGACAAAATTACCCTATTGTCAGCCATGTTGTGCTATTGCCTCCCATACACACACAGAGAAACACGCACACCTGTAATTGCATTCATTGATTCAACATTCGACTGATTTTTCATAACCAAATAAAAAAATGTTAATTATACCTACCTGCCAGTATGGAAGGGGTTGATTCTCAGGCTAACGATAAGCCATTGAACCCCATAGTAATGAGAAGAATTTTCCACGTAGGGAACCGATCGAAGGCAAGTCTGGCAAGAAGGCCAAAGGTGTAACTTGCCATCCTATAACCGGTTTATTACCATTACGTATGATATTAAGACTAGTTACAATCACAATAGTTGATTAAAACACGAATAATTTTTCTTATTTTCAAATAATTAACTTTTACTGCTTAAAACAACTTTTCGTATTTATAAACAATTCAAATTGTAATTATAACTCATATAAATTGCCAAAACATCTAATCTCGGTTAAACTTATTATACCACCAAGAAGTTTCCATAAACAACATGGCTTCACATGACAACGCAGATAGTTAATCATACAAGGTGATAATCTCCTACCAACATCGTCCAAACAAAACGGACAGAGCTCTGTTTGTTTTCCGGACATTTAGGGATAATTCCCACATGATATCTCAACCTGATAAACAGTTCAATAAATACTGACATCATCTCAGTCTATCCAATAGGCATAAAGCCCTTTCATCATAATTGTATCAAAATACATAAATATCCACAGACTACATAAATGAGAACTTACCTAATGCAAAACATATTATCAAAGTCTTTTACATGCATTAATAACATGAAAGATGTCCAATAACTTGATCATAGGCTAAGTCCCTCCTCCATGCATCAATAGTAACAAAAGACACATAAGTGAAATAACCTATACATATGGCTCAACGAATATCCATAATCATAATCAAAAGAGGTATGGACATCTCCTATACTCTCCAAAATACATATATGATATGTGAGATATAAATATATACATCAAAATAAATCCCACATTCATGCAATATCATGGCAAGCTAGCCATGTCTCGTACCCTGTGATACTCCTGCACCGTCAGTACCTGTACATGAAATTCTCGTAACGTGGGGTGAGATATACATATATATCTAAGTAACTTAGGGGCTTTTGAAGATTCTTCCACCCCTAAGTTCACTTCAGCATAAAAACAATAAATCATATGATACAAATATACATATCCATGCTATGAAAATAATGCTCATCCAAACATTCCTCCAGAATGCTTATGCCGCAATAACAATAAATTTTACTGGTCAGAGAACCTATACTTTATGAATTACACAAGGAAATATCTTTGATACATACCAAGTGTAAATACATAGCATACACATACATATATCCAATGCATTATATCAAATCTATGCAATTACATATACCACATACACCATTTCTCCTTTAGAGCATGGTGGAACATGCACGAGATAAATCCCAAGGTCCAAAAGCTTACCTGCAGTAGCTTCCTATCAAATCTTTCTTGTAACAAAGTATCCATCACAAGCTACTAGCAACACCTAGGCTTAATCCAATGGTTGTTTTCTCTCTATTCCTCCACTTAAATCGCTCCTAGTATTTAATAACAATAAGCAAAATCAATCACAAATAGACAATTACTTGCATTGTAAGAAATCAAGCCATATACATATGAAATTTTGAAATTATCAAACCAAGCCCAAATGATGATTTGATCTCTTTTTTACCGATTATTATGGTTCCTTAGCATAATTTCCAAAAGACCTAAGGCTACACGTGCCTCTAACACCATCATCCAAGAAAATATGTCCAAAATGACAACCTAAATATCAAGTTATCAAAAACATAGATAGAAATGGGATTCTTACCACTAATGGCTTCACAATCAAGCAAGAAGTAGATTTCAACCTTTGGGTGAAATCAAACAAACCTCCATTGCTCACAAACTCATAAAAATTGCCATTTTTCCTTTCTTTTTCTTTTCACACACCCACTTTCAAGGATATTTGAATTAGGGGTTATATTTGTCTTGTGATTCTAAGTGATTCTCTACTTGAAACTTTCTTGATTGGATGACTAATTAAGAAGATGGAAATCCAAGCTCTTCACCAATTGCCATGAGTTCGCATGCAGGAAGGAGGAAGAAGGATGCAATGGTTTTTGTCTTCTAAATTAGATATTTAACATACTTAAAGTCAAAGAAACTTTAAGCGGTACACCCATCGCGTTCTCTCATCCATTTTACTCATCTAACTTGATCTTAGACTTTCACTAAAATTATTATATTATATTTCATTCAATTATTTTTAAGTTCTGATAACTTTTGCCTACTAGCAATTATACCCCAAAACTCTCATGTTTTGCACTTTTCTAATTAGACCATTAATTTCACAATTAAATAGTTAATCAATTCTTACATCCATATTACCCAAGTTAGGGTTATTATAAAAGGCCTTGCTGACATCTTTGGCAGATTATTGAGCTCCACCTGAGTGAGATGCATGAGGGATTTGAGAGCGTCGGAGTAATTGGAGGAAGTATAGTTGTTGTCGGAGATAGATTGAATCTAGACGGTGGTCACCAACCCCGTCCAATTGCTGGCAGTGGAAACAGGAGAAAATGAGGTCCCATTGAATTGATTCAACTTTCCGCTCTATTAATTATATTTTGGACTTAGATTTCG